CTATTACTTTATTTAATAAAAATCGGTAATGATTATAAATTATATATATTATAAAAAACATGTCATCATATTAATTTTATTTTAATCAAAGCTTGTTCATGTACATAATAATTTATAAAACTTTTTTTTATTAATAATTTAGTTTTATTATAAATTTAGATAAATGAATGCAATATGTGATGAAAATTAAATTGTTATACATGCTAAATTTATGAGATATCGCAAAATCTAAACTAAAATGCAAATTAATTCAAAACTACTATTTTTTGAATCTTAAATAACAGCAGTGTATAGCATTGATTAGTAAAATCGTTACTTTCAAAGATATTTTTCATTTTCTGTTACATGCTATTCTCACTTATTTAGTTCGCTCTTTAAATTCTTGACGATAAGCGACAATATTATTCGAAAAATTTTTGAGATGGGAGATTCATAAAACGAGTCCGAATCTGTCGCGGTGACTGTGCTAAACCGGGCGGCTTTGTGCCGCGAAATCGAATAGAAGCCGACATTTGTATACGGTACGCGCGCGCGGGGGTACATTTAAAAGTACGACGCTGAGGGATCCGGGCTTTGAGGGTGGGTAGCGATTGAGCTCTCGAGCACTTGAACACGAGCTGAGAAGAAATGCGGGGAGAACAATGGACAGAGGTAACCAGGAGCTGGTGCTGCGTCATCGCGGTGCTTGGAGCCCGTCGCCGGTAACGAGATGCGCCCATGAAGGGCTCACTCACCTTTCCGTAACCCGTCATGTGGACCGACCACCCACCGGTTTCCCTCCAAGACGCTCGTCCTCCTCGGCACTGCATTATCTAACGATTATATTAAGTTGATAGCGGTATTAAATACGTTTCTCTCATTTGTTACTATTTCTGTTTAATATTAGAATCGCGTCTTTTTAATAGTAAGGGCCATCACATACAAAATGACATAAACTGCATAACGTTGAAGGACCAATGAGCATCTTATGTAAATCGATATGGCATTTTTATGTCGAATTCTTATTGGTCCAGCGACTTTATGCTGTGATGCAACTTACTGTCATTCTGTGTGTGATGGCTCTAAATGTTCCTCTCTTCTGCTCATAATTTCTGTTTTTAATCTGTTTTGTATGCACTGAGAGAAAAGTTTCTGATATTTGTGATAATTACATATAATATATATATCGTTGTTTAAAAAATGACTTATAAATTGTAGTTAAACGATTATATTAAATATCAACGATTATATTAAATTGTAGCAACTGTGATCATTTTTATAATAATGTAATAATATCTATAATTTATAGTCATTTTCAGTGGCAACTAATATATTTGTTGAGAATTGAAAATTATATATATGTATAAGAATTATTTATATTATTATTAGTAACTTATTATATTAATAATAATAACCACATAATTATGGTGAAATGTGATTACCGTCACAAATATCAAAAACTGTTTTTTTCATTATCAGTATAAATAAAATCAAAATCGAAAGTCTCGTTTCTACTCATTAATCAAAATTGCATCGTTATTTTCTTTTAATTAAGGGAATATTTTTGAAGCAACGAACGTATAAGTGTGGTTTCAATTACGAGAAAAGTATTGGCATTTGTGATTATAATTACATGATGAAATAATTAAAAAGCTCCCTGGAAAAACATTACAATCATTTTTTGAGTGAAGTAATGTTTTAATTTAAAAAAAATTTTATTTATGCACATGTTCATATATTTTTTTATTTCCCATAAAATTAAAAAAATGTTGGATGCAATGTTCTTCTAAAAAGCCTTTCAATTATGATTAGAAATTTCATTTTTATATTTATTATTGCCGTAATGATAGTAATAATAATTATATTTATAATTCTATAAAAAAATGTATAGTTGACGCTGAAAATGACAAATTATGCTTAAATTATGCAATTGCGATCTTTTTTTTTTTGCGTTGCGTTAATCGAATAAGTGATAATACTTTTATATTAATGTCGATTTTTAAATATAGAAGAAGGTAGCATGAATTTTGGATGCGATTTACGATTCATGCAACAGAATCGTAATAAAGAATTTCTTTTAATTCCTAATCAATATTCTCGGGTTCAGTTCGAAGAATTTTCTTCAACATTGGGAAAAATTATTTATAACAAATGTTTTTTACAACCTTATATAATTTTGAATGACATAATCTTATTACCTCGGATTTTCAAAACAAAAAATTGTTTAATTACGTTAACTTTAAGCAAAGAGTATTAATTTGAAGTACACTGAATTACTCGCGAATTGACGTAGTTAAGAAAATTGCAGAGCGAAACGTTTTAGGGTTAAAAACGAACTGTTCAGAACGTAACCGAGCTTTGGAGGAGAAACCGGGAAGAACGTCTCGTCGTACCGTTGCGTGTTGCGGCGTGCCACTTAAAAAACAAACTGAAGAGAAAAATAAAAAGAATTATCGGCAGCTGCTTGATCTTTCCGCGCGGTCTCGTATGCGTCTTACAAACGATTCTCGAGCAATGCCTGCTTATTAAACGTGGCAGCGTTATTCTTGGATAGAGGGAACGCGAAGCGGGAAGGTAGAAGAAAGCCGCAGGCGGCGTGCACTTGGCTACTTGGCATTTACATCCATTTCGCGCAACGGCTCTTCAGCAAACCCCCCTCGTTCTTCAAGCTTTAGATGCCTGCGTCCGCGTGCACGAGTGCGTGCATTTTTACGTTAGTCGGCAAAGCGCGCGTTCCTCGTGCGTGTTCCTCGCGAGCGCGTATATGAAATAAGACGGGAACTTGGAGAGGAGAAAAAAAAGCGAAGGAAATGAGAGAGAGAGAGAGAGAGAGAGAGAGAGAGAGAGAGAGAGACAAAAGGTAGAAGAGAACTTCAATGTGCGGTCATACGCGATCGCGAGGTGAGGGAGCACCTGGACCTTCTTTTCCATGTGCATCTAAGAGTCCTCATTGCCTTCTATTCCGCGATTCAACCGCCCAACAGATCGCCTCCAGTTAATTTTTTTTCACCAAGTTCAAGTGAAGGAATTTGGTGAAAAAAAATAACTGAAGATGATCTGTTGGACGGTTGAATCAAATTATAATTGAAAAATGATTATAAATTATTAATTGCAATCATTTTTCTGATAATAATAATTATAATTATAGGGTTGTCAACTAATACATATATAGTTCGCAAGTGTCGCAATCGGGATCGGCGCTTCAGACTTCCAACATTTTTGCGGGCAATTTTAATTTCAATTCCATGCATTTTTACAAATTGTAGCGCAGATGATAAAATTCTGTATGTGAATATTGCGAAGAAAATATTATATATTATAAAAATAAAATAATAATAAAAATAATAATTTTTATAAAATTTCTTGAAGCTCTATCAGTCTCCTTTCGAATCGGATTTCGCGCAACGACCATACACGAACAAGTACGTTACGACGACTTATATTCGACAAGCCTTGCTGAGCTGAGAGAGTTTCGGACAATGGAGAGGAATCGAGAGAGCAGCATATCTGATAAGCGACCGCAACTACTAGCCTAGGGTAGATCTCGAGATAGAACTTTATTTCATCAAAGGGACAATAACGGAATCGCGATAACGTCGATTGTCGTGTGAGGAGAGATGTTTTCGCCCTTACAATGTACGTGATAATTTGTAGCCCGAATAAAAATCGGTCCATAAATTCCTAATTAATCGAAAATAGCTTCGCTAAAAAGTCAATAAGGTGTCCAATAATAAAAAAGGATATATAGGTTTCTTTTATCCTAAATAATGCACAATGTATTCTTAATTTAATTCTATTAAATTATCTTAACTTTTTCTTTAGAAAAAAATTAATAATCGATAATTATTCAAATTACGTGAAATTTTTATTTATTTTTATTTTTTTTCTTTATATAAAATCGATATTAATTATATCCTAATGTTTAAAAAAATCTTAAATATTGAAGGTTAATATCAGAGTTTACCGACTCATTCGAGGAATGATAGGAAAATATAAGAATTTATGGATAAGTATAATTCAGTCATTCAATAGCCTTCATTTAAAGAAATATCGTGTATTTCAATTCAGAGTGAGAAATTCCAAATGCCTGTTCGGTCATTCAGTGATACATTGATCTATCGCTATACACCGGCACTGCATTTAGCATGCATCGCTGCGCACCGCAGTTTCACATGCAAAATCCAATGCGACGCGACGTTTATATCCCTAACTCAACCAATATTTTAATGCGTTAGCCATTAATATACAATACACAAATTATATGTTCGTCAATGTACCCGTTCTAATCGTCAAATATGACAGAAATCCTATCGATTATAACTATTATAGCAAAGAAAGAACAGTTTTGCAGAAATATAAAAAATTAGGCTATAGATACAGATCTGAAGATAATTATGTTCAAAAAAAATATTCTACAATACATCAGTACTATCAGTTCCGTGTTAATGACAAAGGATTTTCTATTTATATATAATATGACTTCAAGAGGATACTCTATAAAGTAAAGAAATTTCATATAACTTATAATTTTAGGTGTTGGATAAAAAAAAAATTATGCAAAATGCTCAAGCACGATGACAATGTTATTTAAATTAAAAGTTTTGATGTTCTAGCAATCAGCTTGAGCCTACATAATAATCAGGTATTTTCAGATCTGCATTTGATCTAATTTTTATATACTTCAGCAAAACCGTACATTCTGTATACAATTGATTATAAACGTGCAACCTGATCGAATATAAACGATGAAAAACATCAACAAATTGAAATTAATTTCATGACAGACTTCCGTCAATACGTCTATAAACACGAAAGCAAAAGTAATTAAGCGTCTGTGTATCGGAAGGATGTACAATATCATTATCATGCGATGTTCAATAAATTATTATGCATCGTTTAATGAATTATTAAAAAATCAGTAATAAGAAAAAAACAATATATAACCTAAGTAATAAAAGAATTCATGAAAAAAAGAATGAAATTAAATGTATTTTTTTTTATACAATTTAATCTGTCGTTCTTGAAAGTATCAGACTGATCGTTTGTAAATTTTTTTTACGCTTTTTTTTATATGACATAAATTTAATCCATGGTATGAATTTTCACGTCATGAATTGTTTCCGACAAGTGTAGCAAATACATACATGCTATGTCAGGTTTTGCGCGTTTCCTCTCTGTTACGAATTTTCCGATAAATTGGAATGTTTCAGAATAAAAATTTAACAGGAAAAGCATAAATGGATATCAAAATTTTCTTTTCTATTGAAATTCCGTTGAACTGTTTCCTTTTCTATTGAATTTGAGTCGTACTTTACCAAAATTGTTATTCCATTGCCATGATGATTTTATAAATCGAAGATCGTCACAGAAAATTTATTCGAAATTTGTCAGATAAACGTATTCATAATTAGATATAATTTATAATAAAAAAGTTCCATGACTATTTCGTGCATTCTGCGTGTGCATTTATAATTGTAAACACTGATATTTCATGTACACGTTCTCCAAAAAATTACAAATAGAAATACGTAATGTTATCTCCGAGATACACATCGCGTTAGAAAAGACATCCGTTGTAGCATTCGGGATTTGCAGTACTTAAAAAAACGCAGTGCTCGAGCAATGCCGATAATCGCGTATTTATTGCACTGAAAATTCTCCGAGTACTCCGGCCTGCCTCACTGCATTCGAATTAACGCATTCCTTTAGAACGCGTACTTTGACAATGATTCTTAACTAGACAATTATTATATGCGGTGATTTCTTATAGAAATCGTTCTTAACTTTATTATATGATATACGACAAAATTAGTCGACCTCTTATTGTAACATCTACATCGATCGTCGCCATGCATCTCGGTGGCCTCCTCCACCTCCACCACTTCCTCCACTTCCTCCACCTCCTCCTCGAGTTGATGAGTAATTCTATAACATGAGATAAGCAATCTCAGCTAAAGCTTATTTTAATCGTCTTATTTTAATGTGGTATTTTGTTAAATAGTTTTCTCTTTATTCCATAATATTCCATAATTTAGAAAAAAAAACTCTTGCTTCAATTATCTTTTTATTTCAAAGTCACATTTAATTGGTAACAATTAAAAGCAAAAATATTAAAACACAATTTTAGAAGAAGCAACTTTAATTTTGATTTTTCCTCTTTTCCTAGTTTTATCACGCTTAACTTTTAATTTCAATTATGCTTTCTCAAAACTGATTAGATATTCTTTACTTAATTTTGCAAGTATTATTACGCGGAATTATTACAATCAAATCTAAGAATTATAGAAAGAACAATTTATTATAGAACAACTTATTATAGAAAGAAACAATTTATTATAGAAACAATTTATTATAGAAAGAACAATTTTGCTGAATCTAAAAATTTTCTTGTCAAAATATCTGAAAAATCTAAATACAGATCTGAAAATAATTTTAGATCACCAAAATAATGATATATATCGATCAATCTGGTAACAATAATAGAATGTCAAAATTTTTGACGCAAAATTTCTCATCACTTTGACTGTCTTAATTGTTTTGACGCTTCAACAAAATTATTTTCAGATCTGTATCTAGCCAAATTTTTACACTTTAGCAAAAGTAATTCTTTTCATATAGTAATTCCGTTCAGTTCACATTACATGAAAAATACGAATGTAAGACAAATAAAAGAAAATGAAGAAACATACCCCTCGTTGACTGTGGTAGCCGTGCTGTGCATTCTGATGCTGTGTATTCTGATAATTATTCCGTGAGGATTGCTGACGATTATCGTAATTATGACGATGATACTGATAGTCCGAAGACGGATAATTCGACTGACGCATGCTATAACTTGGTCCTGATGCCCATGCTCTACGCACATGACTCGAACTAGCACTGTTGTAACCGCTATTGTATCCAGACTGGTATTCATTCCGATAACCTGGAAGCAAATGCATGCGAGTATTTAATATACATTAAATATGCAAAGGGAAAGTCCATATACCTACATTAGCGTATATAGAAATAATCGAGCGGCAATAAAGGCCCAAAAGTATATCCGGCTTAGGATTTAATCTCTCAATAAATATTTTCATGAATTAGTTGTACTGAGAACGCGTAGTTATTCTCAATAATTAACATAGAGGCATGCGAGAGGGACGGGTAAGGGAGACAAGCGGGCGCAATAAAGCTGGCTAGATGAATGGGAGCGTGCCGGCGCGTGTCCCTAGTTCCCAAATAATATGCAGCGTAGGACTCGGTAACGTCACTCGATAAGCACTCGGCCGCGCTGTGAAACGTCATAATAACGCCTACTAGACCCATCGTTAATAAGGGATTTTCGAAAGCGCACTTGGACGGGGAAGGAGAGCGAGATACACGGCGCACACACGCTCTCGGTATCGTCAATACCTACCGTTTCCAGTTTAAACATTTCCAATATTGCCGTTGTCGAGAAACGTCGGTTTCCCTCGCTCTTCTCTTTCAGAAGTCGATAGAAAAATTGATAGCGAGATAATGATTGCACTGACAAAAGAACAAAACAGTACGTCACTGTCGATCCGTGACTTCCCATCTTTGAATATTCATAACGCTCGAGCGTTCGAATTGCGAGATTACTCGTATCATTGCTTTATGATTGTGTTCAGGGGGAATTCGAAATAAGAGAAAGCATCGCGTTTGTTTGATGTGTCGCCATAGATGGAAGTGAATTTTAATTGAATTGATTGCGCGCACACGCGGCGCATATATTCTTCAGTTAATTAACATTTAAGTAAAGCGTTACTTTGACTTTAAGTTTATGGGACTTGATTTTAATAGATGGACAATACATCTGTCATATATCTGTATAGAATTAATGTTGTATGTATAGAATTAAAACATATATATATATGTATAATTGAAAATTTTACAGTTACTGCATGAAAAAAATACGTGCTGAATCTTTATAATTATCTCACGTCTTTTTCTCCGACAATAAATATGTGCAGCGTGCAAAGTTGAAAGATTGCGATAAATGATCCCTGTCGGTGTGTTTTCGTGAGAGAATCGATGCAAAGACTGACCAAGAGATCTCGCGGTTTGAAGGAAGTGGTGCTTGGCGAGGAACGCTCTGTATTGTCCGGTGATTTCTACTCAGTACTTCTGCATCGTACTACATACTTCGACACCAGCAGCATTCGCGCGAAGTGGCGTAACTCTTTAACCCTCAGGATTCAGCGGCCATGCACAAAGGCTATCACTGACGCACGATAATCGTATAGTTTGGTGCAGTCGAGCTCGTAATAGGAATCGGCAAACACCGTCGATATCATCGAAGACTGAAGGGGCGATCTCGCTTTTGAATACCATACAGTTATAGACTCCTATCGTATCTGTATATGCGTAAGAGAGAGAGAGAGAGAGAGAGAGAGAGAGAGAGAGAGAGTACATTATTCTTTCTCTTCCACCCCGACATTTCCTCTCATTCTTTCGCGACAACAATAATATCCCCCGTAGGTTCCAGACGGCCCGCGCCCAACGATTTCGACCCCCAACGGTAATCCTCACCCACAGCTTTCGATAGGGGAAAGGAAGGAGGGTTTAACAGTTTACATGTCGGATCATCCCTCGTTATTGTTGCGTTTATGATAATAATGCACCGCTACGGCCAGCTCGCATGTTGCTCGATTTGTTTCAACCCTATCGCGAACCAAACTCGAACTATGTGTGTTCAGATAGGTAGTTAATTAGATCTTCGATATGCGATACATTCGTCGAAATCCATCGTATCATTCGTGAACGTTAAAATTATTTAATCAGAGAATAGAATTTAACCTGAGGAATTAATAAACGAATTTAGATTCTCAAAAATTATTCTGCAATATTAGTACAGTAATAAACATAACAAAAATGTTCAAATATAAAAAGATTAACATCGCAAGGTATACATAGTTTAAGAACAATTTTATTTTTAAAGAAAGGAGCGATTCTTTTCTGATTTTATTATGTTTTTAGAAATAGTTATTGAAAATATATATTGGTCTATTTCGCGGAAAAAATTCATCATTCAAAATCAATCATTTGCTGAAATATCAAAAAATTTAATAAGATACAGATTTGAAAATGATTCGTTAGACTATCATTAATAATTATGTAGAATCTTCAAGCGTAATAAGCAACGCTGCAAAAAATTTTGACATTTTAGTAACCAGTTTTTGTTACATAATTATTTTGATGATCTGACAAAATTATTTTGTTTGTTATCTGAATCTTTACTGAAATCGTTCTTTTTGTGTTTTTAAAATATACATATAATACATAAGAGACTTAAAATTATGTGGAAATTTATAAGCTTTGCTGAAGTATCTAAAAATCAGATAAATATAGAACAATAATTTTATTAGACTATCAAAATAATTATGTAGAAGGTTCAAGCTAGTTATTAGAATGTCAAAATATTCTGCCAGTTCATTCTGATCATGCTTGAGTTTTCTATAATTATTTTGATGGTCCAACAAAATTAATTTCAAATCTTCATTTAAATCCTTCTTTTATCTAAATTTTTAGATAGTTCAACGAAATGGTTCTTTAAAGAATTTATAAAAAACATAAAGAATAAAAAGTAAAGTAAGTGTGTAAGTGTGTAAGTGTATATAAAGAATTTCCTTCAACCGAATAAATATAATTACGTGATACATGGCAGAATATTTTGTGGTTCGATCAAAATTAGGGGGAGATTATTTTTCTATGTACTAAGTAAACATAATTAATGAATATTTGAAGACAATAAAATCGATGTTCAAAATAGATCATCGGTTTATATAACAGTCGAGTGATTTGAGAATCATTAGAAATGGGGAAAATGGCGTTGCGTCCAGTTACCAGACGGAACTTCCACCAATTTCGAGCCGGAGCCGAAATTGTATTGGAAGCCAGACGGAAAAGTATCAAGATCCGAGAAAGAAAGACGATTCGTTTATATGTACGTATACGCGCTATAGTGGGTTCCTCGCTACGGGTATTGGATTGGATTGGATTGCCGCGTCAGCAGTACAAACACTCAAAACCTCGATGTGGGTCGGCCTCTCTCGTTCCTGTTTCAAACTGAAATTACACTTTCCCGTCCACCACGTTCGACCTGCCACAATATATAGCTACGTGTTTCCCCCTTGGCTGCATCTTTTGTCCATATCGAACTTATAAATAATGCTCCGTCCCTTATCTCTCGATTCTTCAATGATGAACTTGTCTTTACGTATCGTTTTATTTAGCCTTAACGTGAGCTTTATGTGTATTTTTTTATTTTTATTTCATGTTTACGAGTTTTTATTTTTTGTATAAATAAAGATGTATTTTTATCTCACGATTTTTCGATGAGAACAAAAAAAGAAATGATGTTTGGATACGTAAAGTAAAAATTTCATGTGATTTAGATTAATTATAATTACAAAAATTACAATATGCCAGATTTTTCGAAACGTTTTGTCATATTATTATATGCACAACATTATTTAAAAAATATTTCTCATATTCAAAGTAAACGAAACCAGTAATGTACCGAAAATTTGACATTAATAATTTGATATCAATAAACAAATAATGATTAAAACGCATAGATATAATCAGAAAAGGCAGAGTGTTCTTAGCGTTTTAGCAAGCAAATATGATGAATGTGATACAAACTGATTAATTGTGAATTAATTACTTTGAAAAGTATTAAAAAAATATTAAAATCTATTAATACTAGATAAAACTGTTTTAACTATATGATTAAACAATTTTCAGAATCGTAATTAATTTATTACTACGTGAATTAATCTTCGACAAAGCATTAATTTGTCTGTGCATCATGAATGTCGATTTTCACCATCAGTCGGATGGCTAAACCTTGACCTCCGTTCTTTTTTAGAAATCGCCAACCTTTCTTTTACGTACACATAATTCCTATGAAAGCAGTTCTCTCCCGATCTTATATGCTTATGGTGGGTGTAAGTAAATATTGTACAACATGTGTAAGTAAAAGGCATAGGCTACATAAACGTTCCCTTCTTTCTCTCCATCTTGTCCTCCTTTTATGCAGAAGCATGTACGGAGGATCTCTTATCGATCAGAGACGTGGACAAGTTGAATGGAGTACCTATTTCAATTTTCCATCGTATCACAAATCGTAATTTTTAGCCACTTTACTCGGCTTTATTCAACGGAACAAGAAAAAAAGAATTATCCAGTTATATATTTGTTCAATAGATTTTTACTTTTTCGTTTAATCGAATTTATCGAGTTCAGCTTCAAAATGCGTCTAATTTATAAAAAAAGAAATTATCCAGTGCAAAGTTCGAAAGAAACATTTTAACGCGTATAATAAACATGAGATCAATCGGTTCTCAATGCAATCAGTTCTCTCACATAT